AGACATCACCTTGCCAACAAAAGTCCGCATAGTCAAAGCTATGGTTTTTCCTGTAGTGATGTATGGAAGTGAGAGCTGGACTATAAAGAAAGCTGACCGCCGAAGAATGGATGCTTTTGAATTGTGGTGTTGGAGGAGGCTCTTGAGAGTCCCCTGGACTGCAAGGAGAACAAACCTATCCATTCTAAACGAAATCAAACCTGAGTGCTCACTGGAAGGACAGATCCTGAAACTGAGGCTCCAATACTTTGGCCATCTCATGAGAAGAGAAGACTCCTTGGAAAAGACCTTGATGTTAGGAAATTGTGAAGGCAAGAGGAGAAGGGGACGACAGAGGATGAGATGGTTGGACAGTGTCATCGAAGCTACCAACATGAATCTGACCCAACTCCGGGAGGCAGTGGAAGATAGGAGAGCCTGGCGTGCTCTGGTCCATGGGGTCACGAAGAGTCGGGCACAACTAAACGACGACAATACAACTCAGAGGTACCCATTGTGGTGCAGTGGATCGAGTAATGGACTGGGGCTCAGGAGACATGGTTCGATTCCCTAACTCTGTCATGGAAACTCACTGGGAATTAAAACTGGTAAAACCACTTGTTCAACACCTCACTTACCTTGAAAACCCTTGAGTTACTGTAAGTCAGTTCTGACTTGATGGCACATAATATCAATACAACTCAAGGAATCAATAAACATCTTTCCAAATGCTGTCTTTAGGAAGTAATATCCATGGCCAAAATCCTCTTGCTTAGTGTAACAAATGACACTAGTTTGGGGCCACTCAATCAGCGTGGGTTTGGTGAGTCAGCTCCTCCATATGTTCCACTGATTCTAATAAGCCTACTCTAACAGTGACTGACTATGCTAAAGTAAGTTGCAGTCAAAGAAGGGACATTTGAATCAATGAAACTTATTGAGGAGCTGACTCACTAAATACTCATTAATCAATGGACTTACTCTACTGCAATACTATGCAACAGGACGTTGACCAAATAATATTTGGTCAACGTTAAACCAAAGTTTACCATAATCTCAATAAATCTTGGAGTTGTGAGCCACCACTATTCAGGCATAGCTGCAGATTGGGCTCTTTTGCTTTAGTTTTAAACTAACATCAAGTGTGTGGCTGAACAAAGCTGGATTAACTAGGCAAAAATAATGTTTACAAGAAAAAAAAGACAATCTCAAGGCATGGTTTAGCTTTATACCCTTAGCTTGTTTCTTTAGACCTTAAATAAAGTATGTCCAGTTCACACACTGTGACAAACCCTGGTTACTTAGAAAACTATTTCAAAGCCCTTGATTTCCTCCTTCCAGTCATACCAGCGAAGGTGGGAGAGAGATGTACTACAGTCCACCATCACATCCAAAACCAGTCAGTATAAGCTTAATAATGATGAGGTCACTTGCACACATTCAGACCGGGCAGGCTTAATTAACAATTTGAATCTGTTAGTAGCAGCAGCATTTACGATATCCATTCTACCTCTAAATCCCATTTCTCTAGCTTAATGGATGTGTTGTTGTGTATTTGCAGCACAAATGTACCTGAGAGTAAGACCCATATAATTCATGGATATCTACAACTGGTATGTGACTGCAGAACATAAACTTGCCTGATCACTAAGATTTGCTGGGGAAGCCCCCTCCATGTCCCACTACTAAGATGCCCTTCCCCTGGAGCAACAACTGGTACCAACATTGGCATCATTTTGGTGCCAAGTCAAGATGTCCTTATTTATTTGAGCCTGGGGGGGGGTGGAACTGAAGATTGTGGCCTAAGCAGGAGTTTAAAGCAAAAAGCAAAGCGTGCTGCTTATATACGTCCCCATAGCGCTTCAAGCACTCTCTGGGTGGTTTACAAGTTAATTAAGCAGGCTACACATTGCCCCCCCCCAGCAAGCTGGGTACTGATTTTACCGACCTCAGAAGGATAGAAGGCTGAGTCAACCTTGAGCCGGCTACCTGGGATTAAACCCCAGGTCGTGAGCACAGTTTTGGCTGCAGTACAGCAGTTTAACCACTGCGCCACGAGGCTCTTCTTTAGTGCTATGTTTTTAATGCTGGAGTGTCTTAATGTTGTGCTGTTTGATTTTAAATTGCTTTAAATATCTTAAGTTCAAAATGGTTTAATACAGTTTTGTAATACACTCATACAATATAAAGTGGGCTATAACTTTTAAATAAAATAAAACAAATAAATAGTACTATTGATTGTTGTGGGTTCCTAAAGTTGGGAAGAAAAATCTCCAGAACATGGCCAAACAGCCCGAAAAACACACAACAACCATCGGATCCCAGCTGTGAAAGCCTTCGAGAACACAAATAGCACTATTAATTTTTTAAACTCTTAAATGACATGTCTGACTATAACCATTTATTTCTCCAGTTTTGCTACTCTCAAGATCCACTCTCACTTCACATCAGTTATTCCTTCCCTTCCAAATGTCCTAGATATTTTGTGACCAACATTTCCCCTAAACCGCACGGGTGTGTCCCACTGCACTGAGCAAGTGTGAACACCCATTTGCTTCTAGTTGCTGCCGAAGCCACGCCAGTGTCGGAGCTTCCATGCAGCACTCCGGAAAATTACAAGGAAGCATTGTTTGTGACTCTCCTCCTTGGCCTCATCAATGGAATCCACTAACTTTTCCAATAATATTAGTTATTAAAATAGCTAACAAAATAAATAAAACATGAGGGTTTTGCACTGGCTTCCCGGTTTGGCTAAGTGAAGGACTGGATCTTGTATCCCAATCCACCTTGTGCCTTTTAGGGGATACTCCCAAACAATCCATGTCTGCGCAAGCATTTATGAGCTATCAGATCTTCAGGAAAACAACAATGCCCTTTCCCTGTGAATGGAGAGATGAAAAAAAAAAGACTTCAACTTCAGAGACAGCTGCACAGCACCACCAGAATTGTTTTCTCACCTCCTGACACAAGAAAAGCAGAAGCATGAGAGACCTGTTACAAGTGTTGACTGTGACATTCCCATACGAAAAAGAGAAACCAAATGGGGTGTGTGTGTGTGTGCGTGCGCATGCGCTGAAAGA